CTCCAGGTGAACCCCCCCAGCTCTCCCAGCCTGGCTCCAGAGCAGAGCCCTGGGAGCATCTCCATGTCCCCTCTGGACTCGCTCCAGCAGCTCCACGTCCCTCTGATGGCACAGTTCTTAAATCACAGTTTCCCATCCCAGAGGTGTTTTCACCCCTGTGTTTGCTCCTCTGCCCACCCTCTGTGACTGGGAATAGCAACATCCACCTCTGCCACAGGGACACTGTGGGCAATAATTCCTGTTGACATTCCCCCGTGTTTCTGGCCCAGTTGGGTCCAACAGCAATGAGTGGGAGGAGATCAAAGGTTGTGCATGTGCTGGTGGCACAGATATCCCATGGCATTGCACCAGGACCACTGGGAAGCAGAATCCTGCATCAAATCCACACCCTGCCAGGAGCACTCTTCCATCAGGATGCAGAAGTGCTGTGGGAAAAAAAATAGTTAGGAAAGCATGTAATTACATCCCAGGCTGCAATGGCCAAGCAAACGTGGTCCTGGCATTCCCTTGGAATGATTTGGAAGGATTTGACCTTGGAGCATTTGGGGTGGATGGTGGGTGCACGTGGGGCAGGAAAAGCTGCAGGGAGTTGTAACTGTGTAAGAGGCTCATCATTGGAACATCATGGAATTAAATTTGGAGAGATTGCTGGGAAAGCAAAGGTTAAATTCTCTTTTAATCCCCTAGAACAAATTTTTTTTTGTAGTTTTTCCTTTTCCCAGCAGCCTTCTGTAGACCACTGAAGCAAGGACTGTAGCAAAGTTAGGAGGTGGTGGGTTGGATTTTTCACGTCCTTTTGTCAGAGCCTGATAATTCTATCTTTAATTCTCCGGGATTTAAGCTGGGCTTCTGCTGCCACCTAGCTTAGACTGGCTCCTGAGCTCAGCCAGCTCCCAGCAGGCAGAGGGACATGGTTTTCCTTGGAAAACTGGTTGCAAACTGGTGCTGAAACAAAGATCCAGAAGTGCAGTTTATGCTGAACTTGCAGTTGAGTCCCAGCAGCCGTGATCTTCCTGCCTTTTGTCTCCTTTGGGAACATTCATACAGGACTTCTCCATCTCCATGACTCAAAATGGCTTCAACACCCAAAAGCCAAAGATTACAATTAAAAAAAAATATACCTTTTGCCTGTAAGATAATGATTTGTAAGTTTTGATTTCTAAATTGCAGAATAAGCCCCAAGATTTAGTATTAATTATATTGTTAATTATAGAAATTAATTCTAGAAAGAACCCGAAATATTTTAAGATGTGAAGGTGGGTTGAAGGCAAAGATGTTAACTTCAAAAATGGCTATTAATCAAATTATTATTATATTAATGGATATGAATTAAATTGATATATAAATTGATATGTAAAGGTGAGTTGAGCAACAGGCATTTCCCAGGCATTAGAGTGATTCTATTGAATAGTATAGATATTTTATAGGTATTTTATCATACTTATAGATATTTTATCATTTGTGTATTTTGATATAAAGAGTGAAGTCCACATGGGAGGGATGCCCTTCCCAGGGATTCATCTAATGGATTTATCCCTTTCCCCTCCCTCATCCCCTGCACAGAGGTTCGTTTGAGGACTCCACGACCAGGTTTTACACGGCGTGTGTGGTGGAAGCTTTTGCCTATTTGCATTCCAAAGGGATCATTTACAGGGACCTCAAGCCAGAAAACCTCATTCTGGATCACCGAGGTTATGCCAAACTGGTGAGTTCCTGCAGCACCCCAAAAAGAGTCCTGGGAGGTGTCAGGGCAGAGGGGACACAGGTCACAAGAAAAGCCCCCTCCCAGGCCAGGGTCCTGTCTCTGGGGGTGGCCACCCGTAGGTGCTGAGGTGGGATCAGGGCAAGGGTGTTTTCCCAGCCTCCAGCAGGGCTCAGGGTTGGGCTGGGAGGTGCTGATTCCAGCTGGAAGTTCAGAAATATTTAGGAAAGAGCACAGGGAGAAACCCACCCGGCTGTTTGGGAGCTACTGAGGGACTGAAAGGGCTTGAAAATAGTTGTGGTCAAGCGTGTGTGGGACAGGGGACAGGGAGGTGTTGGATGACAGAGGATAACTGAGGGGGGTTAGATGCAAGACTGCCCTTCTCCTCACCCCAGGAGCATCTGAACATGGATCTCTACTGGTCCCATCACCAGCCCCCAGCTCCTGAGACATTTTGATCTCCCTGAGCCACATCCAGGATGGCACAAGTGTCCCACATCCCTTGTGGGGCTGTGACCATGTGAGCTCCTGAGCAGCACAAGGTGTAGGAGCATCTCAGAGCCCCCCAGGGCTAGCAGAGTGGGCTACAGCCCCTGGCTGTGGGCCAGCAGGGCACCAAGGGCAGGGGGACAGCTGGGAATGCAGTGGGACAGTTACCCTGAGCTCTGCCCAGGCCCCAGAGGGCTTCCCTTCCCAGTGTAATCTGATTTTCCATGCTTGCCAGTGGCATTCTGAGGTTTGTGAGCCCGCCAGCACATCCCAACAGCCTCCAGCAAACTGGGAGGACACTTGGACTGCATCCAAAAGAGAACTTGGCAGTAGATGCCAAAAAGGCCAGTGTTGAGCCTAAATCATGGAATCATGGAATGGTTTGGGTTGGAAGGGACCTCAAAGACCATCCTGTCCCACCCCTGCCATGGGCAGGGACACCTCCCACTAGCCCAGGTTGCTCCAAGCCCCATCCAACCTGGCCTTGGACACTTCCAGGGATCCAGGGGCAGCCACAGCTTCTCTGGGCAACCTGTGCCAGGGCCTCCCCACCCTCACAGGGGAGAATTCCTTCCCAATATCCCATCTAACCCTGCCCTCTGGCAGTTTAAAATTATTCCTTACTCAGGTAATGGGTGGGAATTTAAAAGAGAACCAAAAGCAAAATAAATCAACCTGAGCTGTGAGTGACAGGAAGTTACAACTCCCAAGAAACCCTCAGTGCTGGTGTTTGTTCTCTTGTGAGAACTTTCCTTTTCCATGACAAGGACAAATCAGCAAAAAGGTCCCTGTGGTTGCCTGCTCCTGGAACAACCCACAGTGCTTTAACTGGGAGAAAATTCCCCCGAGGAAACCTGCTTTCTGCCTTGCTTCACTTCAAGAGGAGCAGAGCACAGGCCTGACATTCCCTCTCATGCCCTGCCCTGACGTCCCTCTGCCCCTTTCCCCAGGTCGATTTTGGCTTTGCAAAGAAAATAGGATTTGGAAAGAAAACATGGACTTTTTGTGGCACCCCGGAGTACGTGGCCCCCGAGATCATCCTGAACAAAGGTCACGACATTTCAGCAGACTACTGGTCACTGGGAATCCTAATGTATGAGCTCCTGACTGGCAGGTATGGGCATTGGGGCTGGGAACACATCCCACTGTTTGTGCTGGTGTCACCCTGATTAGGCCGGGGCAGGTTCAGGGCTGGCATGTGCTGGGCTGGACCTCACCAGCTGCTTTTCCACTTCAGATCAGTCATCTTGGGCCCTGCTGGGGAAAGAGAACGGGTTTGCTGTCAGCTGAGGAAGAGGAGGAGGTGGACTGGGCACTGTGGGGATGTGGGTCCCTGTACCCAGCCCTTGCCTTGTTTAGTTTTGCTATTAGTGTTGGCTGTTACAGCTGCTGTGGGCAGTAATGGAATGTTGGCTTCCTGGAAGTTCTCAGCTCGTCCCCGTCGCTCACTTCCAGGATATGGGAGCTGGGAGAGGATCCATCACCTCACCCTGCTTGTCCTTCAGGGCTGGAGCCAAGTCCCTGCTGGGTGGGAGCCCAGTTAATCCCCACCTAAATCATGTCACAGCATCAGAGAATTAGCCAGTGAATGTTGGTCAGAGCCCCCTTCCTTGGGCTGCTGTGGAAAGAAGAGGTTTAACACGTGTTGCTCTGGAAAACTCTTCCCCTTGGTACTTCCATCCCTGAAATCCAGAGCTCCTCGGCTGAGAAATGGTTAACACCATAGAAAGCAAGGCATTGCTAATTGTCACCTACCTTTTCTCATCTGTGTATATATTTTATCAGTCTTCAGTGCTATTTTAAAGACAAGCTTTTAATCTTTATTTCCCTCTCCCCTCTAAAGTCCCCCCTTCTCAGGCCCAGACCCCATGAAGACCTATAACATCATATTAAGGGGAATAGACATGATTGAATTTCCAAAGAAGATTGCCAAAAATGCTGCTAATTTAATTAAAAAACTATGCAGGTAAGTGGATGAAATATAATCACCTTGATGTTGTGTGCAAAGAAATCAGTTGTTCAGGACTAAGGAAATAACTGCTTTGTTATTCCTTTTGTAGGGACAATCCATCAGAAAGATTAGGGAACTTGAAAAACGGCGTGAAAGATATCCAAAAGCACAAGTGAGTGTCTTCTCACAGCAACAGGCATTTCAATGTCCTGCTAAAAACCCCTTTCTATCCATGATGTAAATTCTTCATCCCTTTTGGTCCGATGGGAGTCATTAAGTGATTTCTTAGGAGTTTTCACTCTGCTGGAATGGGGTAATCACCCATTCCAGGAACAGGTTCTCTCATCCATCCATGCTGGACCTTCTCTCCTCCAGCCCCAAAGCCCCAGGAATGGATGAAGTGGATGTTTAAGCTGGGAGCTAATTTCATATGAAAAAAGGACATTTTTGGGTCTCATACTGCAGGGAAGGAGCAGCTTCCAGGACACCTGCAGTGAGGAAGGGCTCTCTCCTGAGTGTTGGGGATTTGGGATCACCACTGCCCACGTTTCCTTTCCAGTCCCAAAAAACAGATACAGAGGTGACAGGAAAAATTCCAAAGGATCTGAGGGTGACACGTGTGGGAGATGAAACCCACTGTTTAAACAACTGACATTTCTTTCTGTGCTACAAATGTGTAACTGCTGGATTTTTTCCCTCCCTTCAGATGGTTCGAAGGCTTTAACTGGGAAGGGTTACGGAAAGGGACGCTGACTCCTCCCATAATACCAAGTGTAAGTTCATTGTTTTCTCCTTCATCACCCCTGAGTTCCCTCAGGAATCTTGTGAGCTTCAGGCAGTGGTTCAGTGGGGACAGCATGCGCTTCATTTCTTCTGAAGATGCTTGAAGGAGTCCCATCGGACACATTCCCAGCTCAGCTTGGTCTCTGGGCAGGCTCTTCCAGGAGAAGGCAGTTTGGGCAGGGTATGGCCATGACAAAGTGCCCTTGGCAGCAGGAGGTCAGGGCAGCATCACTCACTCCTACACATTTTTCTCTTTCTCACCTGCTCCACTTGTTTCTCCATCTCCTTTTCCCATTTCGGTGCAGAGCTGCCACTTTCCCCCCTTCCCTCAGACGTGTCCTCTTCCCTTCTCCTCTATTCTTACTTCTTTTGGAAAGACAAGTGGGATTTGTGTGCCATCTCCCTTTTCTTTTGCCTTAACCCTTCCTTCTGTCTTGTCTTTTGTGCTCCTCACCCTTTTTTCCTGCCCCGTTCCGGCCTAGTTTATGTTTAACCGGGAGCAGCCGGGCAGGGACAGCTCCACTCATTTTGCTTTGGAGCAAAGCTCTTCCTTTGATGTCTTTGTGAGCTCTCTCCCCACAAAGCCAGCTGCAAAGGGAAACCAAACAGGATTAGCTGATAGAAATTACCTTGGCCCCTTCTGTTCTGCAGCCTCCCCTCCTTGTTTCGGCTTAATCCCTTTCTGTGCGCGCCTCTCCCGCGGGATCGCCCGGAATGACATTAGCAGCCGGGTTTAATTGCACCCCCTGCTCCCTGCTGCAGCCCCTGCAGCAGCACAGCCACAGCTCCAGGGCTAAATCTGCCATCCCAACGTTTTCTTAGCAGCCAGCAAAGATCAAGGGGGTTTCCCATCCCCCTGTTTTGCCCCGTGGGCCGCGGGAGTTACTGGTGGGAGAAAGCAGGACTTAACGTGTCCCTGCAGCAGAGGGACCAAACAACACATCTGTGTTTTATGAGTCAAAGCTGGGTTTGGTTGGTTTGGTTTCTTTCTTGTTAAGCTCATTCTAAAGTCCTGGAATGGTTTGGGTTGAAAGGGACCTCAAATCCCATGTTATTCCAGGGACACCTTCCACTAGCCCAGGTTGCTCCAAGCCCCGTCCAGCCTGGCCTTGGCTTCTCTTTACTGCCTATTAATTAAGCAGCACACACTGTTCACCACGTTTCTTGTCAGACCATGAAGTCGAGTTTGCTCCTTTACATCCAGTTGCAATCCCTGCTTTATCTGTGCAGCCTGGGAAATGCCCCAGCATGTTTTTCTAGCTGGTTTTAGTGGATTTTTCTCTTAGTAAGGGCATTTCCAACACTGCTTTTTTACCCCATATAGACTGAAGGTTCATGGGACTGGTGACAATCTCTTGTCAACCCCAAAGCCATCAGTCCCTCTCCACCTTGTTTTCCACAAGTTTTTTGGCAAAGTCCTAACTCCCAGTAAGAGCCACATCTGAAAAGGGACCCAAAATACCCAGTTTTATGGGGGCACATCCATTTTCCCTTCTTCAATCCACCTCTCCTAGGTGGCTGGGAAGGAGCCAGCAGGGCTGAACATGCAGATTAGCTATTTTTTTTTTTTAAGAAAAAGGCTTTTCCCAGCTTTTTAACTCTCATTAGTTACATGGCACTACCAGTGAGGCAATCCAAAGCTGCTCCTGAGCTCTTATTCCATGGGATTTTTGGAAAGATCCCAATTTACAACCTGCTGCCAGGACACTGCTGAGCCTCAATAGCACAGCCTGGAGAGGAGAAGCTTTGGGTGACTGAATTGTGGCCTTCCAGGGCCTGAAGGGGCCTGCAGGAAAGATGGAGAGAGACTATTTCCAAGGGTCTGGAGTGACAGGACACCCTGTGAGGGTGGGGAGGCCCTGGCACAGGTTGCCCAGAGAAGCTGTGGCTGCCCCTGGATCCCTGGAAGTGTCCAAGGCCAGGTTGGACAGGGCTTGGAGCAACCTGGGCTAGTGGGAGGTGTCCCTGCCCATGGCAGGGGTGGGACTGGATGGTCTTTGAGGTCCCTTCCATCCCAAACCATTCCATGACTCTGTGACTGTCAGTTGGCCTCTGACTTTGGCTTTTCCACACAAGTGAAATGGCTAAAAATTGCAGGATTTCCTTCCCAACTCTCCTGTGGCAGTGCAGTCCCCTCCAGCCTGCTCTGCCTGCTTGGGGTGAGGCTTAAAGTACCCCAGTTCTAGTAAGATACTTCTCATTTTGGGCTGGAGAGCTGCTGCTCTGTTCTTGCATTCTTTATTTTTTTAAATTGGATTCACTGCGTCAAGGTCTCATTGTAAGAAAGGTTCCCTCACTAGTGTAAAGCAAAGAAAAAAAAAAGAAAAAAAAGGAAAATATCTAGCTATGGTAGATAAATGACATTATTTCCAAGAAAGAAATGTGGTTGGCCTTATTTCCAAAAGAAAAACATGGTTGGCCTTATCCTGGGAAAGATGGTTTTCTCTAGTAGGATCCTTAGGCTGAGCAACACTTGTCAGGAAATGTAAAGGCAGGATCCTGGAGACATAACTGGGAAATCTGGGCTTTGGGGAGGCTTTTCCAAGTCTTTCCTGATGACCTTGTGCCAAGGGGTGGGACAGCTGCTCTTGAACCCCAGCGGGCGTGGATCAGGAGGGTGGGGAGGCAGTGGGAATCCTCCTGGGTGTGGAATGCAGCCCTCCCTGGCTGGCCACAGGCAGCAGTGGATGCTCCTGAATGATCACAGCTGTGAGATGAGGGGGGCCTGCCTGCAGAGGTCCCCTTTGATGGCCATCCCCTTGATGTCCATCCCCTTGATGTCCATCCCCCTGATGTCCATCCCCTTGATGACCATCCCCTTTGATGGCCATCCCCCTGATGACCATCCCCTT